ACAATTCCAGCCGCTGAACCCAGGGCAGCTGTTTGTCCAGCCTTTGGTGAGTCCACCACTTGGGACACCCTGGCCTTGCACTGTAAAACTGATGGTCGCTTAGATTCCCTGTCCCCTTGGGAACACTCTCTCAAGGTAGACTAGAAAGCTGTCTAAACTCTGCTACTGTATTTTTCTGACATAATAAGCATAACTTATTGAACGGATCTAGGTCTCTGATGAACTTAAAGTGCTTCAAGGTCATGATTTTGATATCAGTGACAGTCTTACAGACAGGGAGCTGCAGGAGATTAGACAGATGCTGTCCTGACCAAAGATAAGACCCTGGCATTTGCCTTTTGACTAAACGTCTGATACATGTCAGCTTTATTTTGACTTGACTCTTGCTTTCCAAAGTGACATGCAGCCCAAAGAAACACCAAAAGACCAACAATTAAGATGTTTTTTAGGAAAAACTAAATACTTGATAGATAATATCTATGCCATAAGTAAAACTTGACGAGAGAAATTACAGAATCGTAGAACTGGAAGGAATATTTAAGATCAACCCATCACGTTCCATAGGTGAGGAAAATTGAAGTGACTTAACCAAAGGCATAGGGCCAGTCAGTAATCGGTCTACAACTCATGTCCTTGGCTCTGGACTAAAAATCACTGAAGGTGACTTTTTAGTGCTTAGTTGCTACCCTAAATACTAAATATAGTGTCAGTTTGTGGCACGTAAGTGAAATCCCTAGAAAAAAAGGAAAAGTACATTCAGAAAACTGCTACATTTAATGTTCACGGTAGCAAGACACCAAAATTCCACTTGAGTAAAACTCATCATTTCATTATTACCCCCCAGTGATACAATAAACCTTGGGCAGAAATTGTCGTGTTTGAAATTGTATTAATTCTTCTAGGTCATCAGGGTACCACTCAGTGGATTTTAACAGTAATATACCCACCGCTAGTCTAGGGCCACCAACTAAAAATAAAAGTTAATGGTTCTACGGATGTTTCCTAGTCAATAAAAAAATGTCTGCTTTAGGACTTCCCTGGTGGCTCAGTGGTTAAGAATCCGCCTGTCAATGCAGGGAACATGGGTTCGAGCCCTGGTCCGGGAAGATCCCACATGCCACAGAACAACTAAGCCCGTGCACCACAACTACTGAGCCTGCGCTCTAGAGCCTGCAAGCCACAACTACTGAGCCCACGTGCCACAACTACTGAGCCTGCGCTCTAGAGCCCATGCTCTGCAACAAAAGAAGCCACCAAAATGAGAAGTCCGTGCACCACAACAAAGAGTAGCCCCCGCTCGCCGCACCTAGAGAAAGCCCGTGCAGCAACGAAGACCCAACACAGCCAAAATAAAGACGTAAATAAATAAATATAAATTTATTTAACAAAATGTCTGCTTTATAAAACTACCATACATTCTCGTTATTCTTTAAAATTAGATGAGTTCAAAAGGGATCTTCAAAGATGCTGTACTTGAATTAAAATACAAAATCATGTTGAAAATCATTTGAATAATATTTTAGAAATGAATCTAAAAACTGTTCATACAACAGAAATGCAAACTGCTTTTAATTTAAGGCCATCTCTACCATCCCCAGGAACTCCCTTGTATGAGAGCCTAATTTGTTAATCAGATGGAAAATACCGTCTTCATCGTGAGTTATGGTTAATTAGATGTTACAACTGAACTACTAAGAGACAACGGACCCCTCCAAGGGGCAGTCAACTAGAACATTATTCGGAGGCAAAGCAACCTAATTATTACTGCAAAGTTCAAATTAGAGGAGTTGATTTGAACACTTAATGGACTCACTTTGGGGTCAAACCTCTTGAGATTAGTGAATTCATACCGGACAGTCTTTTTAGTACATTAAAATGGGCTTTGATAAAAGAAAAATACACGGAATCAGAAAGTGTACAGAGAGGGAAAGGCAACATGTAGAGATGCTCCCACCAAGTTCCAGAGAGTTTCCTATAAACTAGAAAGTGTGGAAGCATAAATCCCAAGTTGGGACAATCCCTCACGGGTGACCGACAACCCCCTGCTTCTTGCTTTGGGACACGTGGGAGGCGAATCTCTTCTAGAAAGAAGCACTTTCTCATACGCAGCTCCAGAGAATTAATCTTCCTCTCCCCCAGAAGAGACTCCTGTAGTCCTTAGGGGTCAGAGAGGAAAGCAGTGAACGCACTCAGATTGTCGAGATGGTACCCACAGTGGTACGTTTGACAGAAGAACCGTGAGGTTTAAAGAAAGAGTGAAGAACACTGTTTGGGTGGGTTTAGCAAATGTGCATGATCTATTTTCAGTCCCCTACGACTGCGGGGACACTGCTTCCACAAGACGGTATGTCCTGTGGTCCAAACAACTGATTTACACATAAACTTAGAGAGTGATTCTTGTTGGTATGTTGGTGACACGGAAGGATTTCAATGACTGAATACATTACAGGAATGAGATTATAAAGTTTTCCTAAACATTGATTACTGTGCGAAGTCCTAATAGAACACAGGCCTTTCACAACTGGTACCCACAGAGCCCTCGTACGGATCACCGATCACTTATCATGCCTTTGATAGCACACCTGGATGGCGGGCCTCTGCTTCATTTCCCTAACAAGACAGTAAGCTCCAGGCTCCCTCAGAGGCGGCACTGGGCTGTACAGCCCTTGGGAATCTTCCTGGGACCTTGCACACAGTGGAGAGGGGAGGAGAGAGCCAAAGGGAGGGGGCACAGCACACCTGGCTCAAAGCAGAGAGAGACACGGGACAGCCAGCCTCCTAGGTGAGACTCTACCACACAGCCATCAACTCATACCAGCTCGTTCATGGCTAGCCAAAAGTGTTTCGCTTTAAATTGGCAATAAACGGAAGACGATGAATTATCCAAAGCTCACTGAGAAATACAAAAGTCTATATTTTTCATCTTTCAAACTAAGGCATTCCTTCAGCTATTTAGAAATGCTGCTTCTAGGACTTCCCTGGTGGTCCAGTGGTTAAGAATCCATCTTGCAAGGCAGGGGACGCCAGTTCGATCCCTGGTCAGGGAACTAAGATCCCACATGCCACGGGGCAACTAAGCCCACACGCCACAACTACAGAGCCCATGCGCTCTGGAGCCTGTGAGCCACAACAAGAAAGAAGCCCACGCACCGCCATGACCCACATGCCACAACGAAAGATCCCACGTGCCGCAACTAAGACCCTATGCAGCCAGCCAATAAATAAATATTTAAAAAAGAAGAAGAAATGCTGTCTCTCTTCCTAAGTACAAGTGACTTACTGGGGTCTCCAATTATTGGCTTAATAAATGTTTACTGAATGAGCACTGTCAGGTCTGTAGTCAAAAGCTTGACCCTCCTCCACCCTCTAAGAGGACAAAAATTCCCCCCGAGTCAGGTTTAGGGAGTTTGCAGCACCTACTCACATCCTTCATCATCACAGACTTCCCACCCAGGCCTGGCCTGACTCCAAATCCTGTAAACTTTGCACTCTAGAGTCTGATCTGCAGATCTCTGTTCATTACAGGGAAAACAAAATAGAGGGGGGCATATTTTGATCTAAAATATTCTTGTGGAAGACCCCACCAGCATTCTTTTACAGTAAAAATTAGAACGTGAAATATTTTAACTGACCCATTGGTAAAACATACTTATAGGGCAGTCAAGAAAAATAAAGGAAATTGAGAATTTTTTAATCACTTCACCAATAATCAGAAGCAATAAAAACAAGGATAAGCACGTCCCTGGCGGTCCAGTGGCTGGAACTCCGCGCTCCCAATGCAGGGGGTGCGGGTTCGGTCCCTGGTCGGGGAACTAAGATCCCACGTGCCATGTGGCGCACCAAAAAAAAAAAAAAAAAAGGAATAAGGGTAAACGCTTGCATGCAGAGAAACTCCATTGCGGAGTAATTCTGACATCTGTTAAATTGGAGAGCAGGAAAGAGATCATAAATCCCTCCATGAATCCCTATTGTTACAGATCGTAGGAGGAGACAATAATAATACTGTCCTTGATGCAAACACGCAGAGAAAGTTTGAAAGTGAAACCTACAGAACAAACAGCATGCTAAGATGCTGTTTCAATTAATAGTAGACTATGCTTGTTAGAAGCTCCAGGAGAGCCCGCCTCAAGTTTTACATGCAGGAGACTGAAAGCAGAGATGCGTATATATCCCACAGAAAGAAAGCCACCAAAACACACTTATTTGGCTTGAAAAAAGAACTGAGAGATTAATGCATTTTATCACAGCCAGTAGGAAATGTTTTAGTCTGTAAATAAGTTATCTGATTTGATTTTGTTCCCGCTGTTTGTTTTTAATTAGGCAAAGAAACATTTCCAAATTTTTGTTTTCTAATCTTAAAGATCTAAGCCCACAGTGATTACGTAGCATCTCATCTGCCTATCCCTCTTCACATCTAATTTTAACAGCAAATCAGTCACTTTCCACTTCAAATCAGGAGCCATGGGCTGAACTTGCGTGCCAGTTTGCTGTTGCCTCACAGGAGGGAAAATCTGTTTGCTTCCTGTTGATTTGAGAGGTATTTTTTTCTTTCCTGTGGTTTTTACATGCAGTATTTTCAACACAGAGAACACTAGGCAAAGCCTTGCCAGAAAGGGCCCTCTTGTTGGCAAGAGCCCATATGCTGGAACGTTCACCTGACTTCACCAGCAGGGACCCAGGGCGGATGCCCACCTGGGTGCAGGCTGGCGAGGCTGCAGTCTGGTGGCCCCTGGTCCACAGAAACCACAAGGTGGAGTGCCAGCGGGTCAGTGTCCAAAGGGCGGCGTTTGCATCCTACGGAGCATTCTGCAACTTGTAAGGTATAGAGACCTCTAGGCATGAAATCTTACTCGTCTTTCCCCTTGCGATGAAACGAGGAGAAGATGGGCTTCCGCCGGGCTTCACCGTTCACGCTCTCCACACACAGACGCCCGAGAGTAATTCTGCTACAACTAATGTCCTGTGTTCTTTCTGTACCCGTTCTTCTCCCTCCTTCCCAGAACACCTGAAGGAGAAGCTGGAAGAATACATGGCTCGGTTTTCCAAAGTGAGGATTGTTCGCACCAAGAAAAGGGAAGGGCTGATCCGGACCCGACTCCTGGGGGCGTCCATGGCCAGAGGCGAGGTCCTTACGTTCCTGGACTCCCACTGCGAGGTCAACGTCAACTGGCTTCCCCCGCTCCTCAGTGAGTGACCCTCAGCCCCCGGGGCCTCCGGGGGAGGCGGGGGAGGGTGCCGTGCGCTTCTATGTCATCTGCCATCGACAAAGGCTAGAGACCCCTTTTACGAGGTTTACAGTGGGAGCGGTGAATTCTATCTTAACTATTGCTGGGACGTATAGGTAACTAGAAAACCACATTGAAATTGACATTTTAGGTAATACCAACTGCAGTCTAACTTAAGGTTTGAAAAGGTTTGATTTCTTTATCTTAGACATTCACTGAGTAAACACTAAAAGGAAAAAGTATTCATTATACTACCTATAAGCACAGTATGATTAAAATACACACACACACAGAGTTTAGCAAGTATTATAGGACTGTTAAGAGATGAGAAAAGTATTCTTTTCTGTATTCCAGAATACAGTTAAAGTAAAAAGCACACTGACATTTTCCCAGGATTTATAAAGCCATTCTCTTTTCCACTCCTGCACCAGCTTAGCTCCGTAAATATACGACCCCCCCATCATGTTTACACACAATCCCTCAAACACTCAGAGCTGCCGTCCAGGTGATACATCTTAAATGATCACTAGAAGACTATCACTTGAACTGTTAGAAACACAAAAGTCCTGAAAACCACTCAAGCTCGGAAACCTGCATGAGGTTCACTCCAAGCACCAGTATTTTTTTAATTTCACAGTTAAGTCAGAGATCAAGCCCAGTAGTAGCTAAGGAATCAATTGTAAGGCTGAGGGGAAAAGTGTGTTTCTAAAAAGTTCTTGGTGCGCACATTTTGAGTTCCTTTCTGTTCTTCCACATTTCACTGAATCAACTTTTATTGTAACTATATCCCTGGCCTTGGAGCTAAAGCCAGTTAACAACCTCCTTCACAATAGCTGTCTCAGAAAGAATCATTTTCTATTGAGAACCGTGCAGGATTTCAGATAGAAGCAGCAAAGCTCCATTAGTAAACGATGTGGGGGAAAAAAATCAATTGAAATTGTGTTGCATTTGAAACAGGAAATGACCAGCAACTAAGGCTCCAGGGCATCTCAGAGCCACACTCTCCCCCGCAGACAACCTCCCAGACACCCTCATCAACAGGGATGTTTCTAGGCTCCTAATGGCCAGAGATTCCTCTGAGCTTTTAATTAAAAGTAGCTTGTCCAAGGACATAGCAATTTAGAGTTTCATCAGCAACCATCAGTTTCCCTTAAACGGAATTTGACTGAACACTCAAGTCAGCACAAGGCCTAATTTACTTATGAACCAAAGCAAGCCCTAAACGCCAATTATCAAGGCTCTGATTGTTCATATGCACCTAACAAAAAAAAAAAAAAAAGGAAAAAAGAGGGAAAAGACAGAGAAGCCCACTTTTCTCATGGAAGCATTTCATTTCCTGTAGGCCTGATGGGTAAGAAATGATTCACGCTCAGGATCACTATCTTTTTTTATTTTCCTCTATCGGTGTCTTGACACATCCTCCAAAATGGAAAAAAAAAAAGGAGGAGCCACACAGTTTCTTGGTTCATGTTTCACCTTGGGATTTTACCTGAATTTCAATTTCCCATTAAGAGTCTGTTTGTTTGATCCCTGGAAATTGAAATGTAGGCACAAGCCTTAGATGAAAAATTAGTCATGCTACTTTCACCCCGAGCTGGTGCTGCTGGATGAGAGCTGAGAGGAAATCTGAAGGGAAAGTTGACAGTTGAACAGACTAATTCTCTTCGGGTCACCTTGAGACTCCTTGTTGGTCAAGGAACTTGTAAATCCACCTGATTCTGAGTTTGACTGAAGAAAGTCACTGAAACCTTAATACTCAAATACCTGCAGAGGTGATAGAAGAAATATTTTGGACACAGTAATAATGGTCTCCTCTGTCAAAGACATCTATGGGGGAATGCCATTTAAAGACTAAAGCCCACTGCAAGTCTTGCCCAGGTGAAAACAATGCCCACAGAGCTCTTGGTGGGATTAACTTAAGGAGTGCATGAATGAATGAAAGAGAAAGAAAAAGAGAGGGAAGGAAGGAAGGAAGAGAGAGAGAGAGAGAAAGAAGAAAGAAAGAAAGAGAGAGAGAAAGAAAAAGAAAGAAAGAAAGAAAGAGAGAGAAAGAGAGAAAGAGAGAAAGAAAGAAAGAAGGAAGGAAGGAAGGAAGGAAGGAAGGAAGGGAGAGAGAGAGAAAGAAAGAAAGAAAGAAAGAGAAAAGAAAGAAAGAAAGAGAAAGGAAGGAAGGGAGAGAGAGAAAGAAAGAAGAAAGAAAGAGAGAGAGAGAGAAAGAAAGATAGAAAGAAAGAAGGAAGGAAGGAAGGAAGGAAGGAAAGGGAAAAAAAAAAGAAAGGGAGAGAGAAAGGTAGATCTGGGGGGAGATCTTCCATAGGATTCTGTGGTTTCCATGCCCTGCCTTATCAGTGTCTTCAGAATAATGATGCTGAAATAGCCAAACCTCATTATTTCTAAATTATGTCTTTTCTTTTTTAAAGATACTTAAATGTATTTTATTCCACACGCCACATCCAAAGGTCTTCCAAAGAACCAGAAAGCAGGTGTTTGCACTTAAAAGTTCTGCCTGTCTGACACTATTAGTTTGTTGTAGTAAATACTGAAGAAATGCACATTGTTGGGAAGACAACACTTCACATGTAGCTGTTCTAGGTCAGCCAAAGTACCTGTACATGCTCTTCCCAGCACTGGCTGTTCAGGTCTCACATAATAACATCTACAAGGGAGGAGCTGGAGGTGCAACTGGAAAATAAGTCTCCTTTCTGCGTCAGAGAAGCACCATGGCCAACTGGAAAGACCCCAGACTTTAGCACAGGACCATTAAGCAGGGATTGCATCCTAATTCTTGCCGTCAAAAGATGAGCGACCTTGGACAAGTTATTTAACTTCTCTGAGCTCAGTTTCTCATGTGTAAACTAGGAATGATGATAAGAACAACCTCACTGGGTTGCTAGGAGGGTTAGGAACAGCCTGAGTATACTTAGTAGTTGCTCAAGAATTGAACAGTAGCAGGAATAGCAGCGGTAGAATCAGGCCATCTAACGTATTTTCAGCTATGATGAGAGAAGATAAAAACGTATAGCTTTGATAAACGGAGTCTATATTAAAGAAGAGTAGCAAAATAGGACTTGGCAAAATCTCTGGTAAGCCTGAGGGCAAAGAATTCTGTGTATAATCTGCCAGCATTTGGGGGGCGGTGGAGGGACAGCCATCATGGCCATTGTAAGATGAGATGCTAAAAAAAAACCCATGAAGTTAAATATTTACATTTTGGAACCTCCAGAAAGCAGGCCAGTATTTTCTCAGCAGGCTCTAGCTGTATGCTTGAAGGAACACGAGGACTGTTTATACTCCACGCATGTTGGGTGCACTGTAAAATGACAGATTGGGGACAGGTCAGAGCAAAACTGTGACAGAGGGAGAGCTAAACGCTCTTCTCCAGGTACCTCTGGGACATCACTTTCTTCGAGGAGGATACCACAACACTAATTGCACCTAATCACTGTCCCATCACGTTAAGCCCAGCGTTCAAGCAGAGATTCTGCAAAGTGCTCTGAAGGCGACAGGGAACCAGACCGCGAGCACGACGCGTTAGGAAGGGCTTCTCTTGGCAGAAAAATGAGAGATGACCTGGGCAGGCGTGTCATTTCCTATTCCGTGCTTTCATTTTTCAGACCAAATTGCACTCAACCACAAAACCATCGTGTGCCCCATGATCGATGTCATTGACCACAATCACTTTGGGTACGAGGCCCAGGCCGGGGATGCCATGCGCGGCGCCTTCGACTGGGAAATGTACTACAAGAGGATTCCCATCCCTCCAGAGCTGCAGAGGGCGGATCCCAGCGACCCTTTTGAGTGAGTAGCAGCTGAGGGAGGGTCCAAGGGAGAAGGGGCAGCTAACTCAGGCGTGTGTCAGCTGGAGACCCATCTCTAACGAAATGGAATCAAACGGGTGGCCAAAGTAGGCAAAACACTGGGGAAAGGGCAGACCTGCAAGTTGTGTAAAGTCACAAGCTGTGCCGAGTACATTCTTGGACTTTCTGAGTGTGAGAGGGCGTGTGCGGTGTGAGAATCAGTAAAGGCAGAGTTCACAGCAAATGCACGGAAAAGGGATGCAGTCCCTTTCAGCCATTCTCTTCGAGGTTCTTTCCTCATTTTCAGTTCCCTCTGTTCTTTCTGCTTTTCCCTAAAGGATTATTTAAATGAACTATTTTACCTTTCTTCATTAGGGAATGATATAAAATATGAACCAGTATTTAGGCCTAGGTTCCATGCCCTGCTGGGAATTGCTTCTTTATAAAGGAGGGCCATGTTTCGGACGAGCAGCTGCTCCCAGAACTCAAACTTGGGGAATTCAGTCAAATGACAGACCCAGAGTAGATGATCTTTGATAATATTGCCCCCAGTTTAGTTCTATACAGATATAAGTTTACAGTAATCTATTGATTTCTACAAAGCTAAATTCTTTCTTTCCAATGTGGACAGGAGAACTGTCTATGTCAAGAAAAAGAAAAAAATATGGCTCAGCCTGACAAACTATTAGGACCATTAATGGTTAATGGTGAACTTTTTCCAAAAGTTACCCAGAGATTGCCCAAGGCATGCTATTATCTATTCCTCATACTTCACCCTTTTGATATCCTTAAAACCTTTATAACTTTAAAACTATTATATTTTTTCTTAGTACAAAAGAAGTGTCTAGATCAAGGCTTTGCACACTCTCTAAGATTCTATTTAATATGCATTAAAATCGATACTGTTTTTTCTAATATTTTATTTTTTATTGATGTATAGTGGCTGTACAATATATATGTTACAGGTATACAATATAGTGATTCACAATTTTTAAGGATTATACTTCATTTATAGTTACTATAAAATATTGGCTAGATTCCCTGTGTTGTACAATATATCCTTGTAGCTTATTTTATACCTAATAGTTTATACCTCTTAATCCCCTACCCCTGTATTGCCCCTCCCCCCTTCCCTGTCCCCACTGGTAACCACTAGTTTGTTCTCTATACCTGAGAGTCTGTTTCTTCTTTGTTATAGGCACCAGTTTGTTGTATTTTTTAGGCTCCACATATAAGTGATATCATACAGTATTTGTCATTCTCTGTCTGACTTATTTCACTTAGCATAACATCCTCCAAGTTCATCCATGTTGCTGCAAATGGCAAGCTTTCATTCTTTTATATGGTTGAGTAGTATTCCATTGTATATATATACCATGGATGTATCTTCTGTGTCCATTCATCTATGGATGGACACTTACATTGCTTCCATATCTTGGCTATTATAACTAATGCTGCTGTGAACACTGGGGTGCCTGGATCTTTTCAAATTAGTGTTTTGGGTGTTTTTTCGGATATATACGCAGGAGTGGAATTGCCAGGTCATATGGTATTTCTATGTTTAGTTTTTTGAGAAGCCTCCACGCTGTTTTCCACAGTGGCTGCACCAATTTACATTCCCACTGACAGTGTATGAGGGTTTCCTTTTCTCCACATCCTTGCCAACATTTGTTATTTGGGGTGTTTTTTGAGGATGGCCATTCTGTCAGGTGTGAGGTGATATCTCATTGTGGTTTTGATGTGCATTGCCCTGGTAATTAGTGATACTGAACATCTTTTCATGAGCCTCTTGGCCACCTGCATGTCCTCTGTGGAGAAATGTTTATTCAGGTCTTCTGCCCATTTTTTTAATTGGGTTGTTTGCTTTTTTGATGTTGATTTGTATGATTCTCTAACACCATATACAAAAAGAAATGGATTAAAGACCTAAATGTAAGACCAGATACTACAAAAGTCCTAGAGGAAAACATAGGCAGAACACCCTTTGATATAAATCACAGTAATATTTCTTTGGATCCATCTCCTAAAGCAAAGGACATAAAAGCAAAAATAAACAACTGGGACCTAATTAAACTTAAAAGCTTTTGCACAGCAAAGGAAACCACGAACAAAACGAAAAGACAACCTACAGAATGGGAGAAAATATTTGCAAATGATATGACCAATAAGGGGTCAATATCCAAAATATATAAACAGCTCATACCATTCAACAACAACAAAAATCAATACTGTCTATTCATGAATAACACGGGCTATAAAAGTTTACAGTAGAGAAACTCCCAAGTGCAAAAATTACTTCAGTGACTCACTTTAAATTACAGTAAACATTTGATAAACATCAGGAAAATGTTTCTTCCGATTCTATTCTCTAAGAAGATAAACTCTTGGGAAAGCAAAGGGGATTTCAAAAGACATTAGCCTGGTAAAAACGAAGGGAAATCATTTCTTTTGTAATAAGCGCACTCATTAAGTATCCAGAATTTCTGAAAGAGGCCTCTTCAGACGCGTAAACTCCTGGAGAGTTTTTTAGAAGAAATGATGAAGCCCATTGTTACTCTTCCGAATACTTCAGCCAAGATTTAAAGGAGATTGAAAACCTCCAGGGAAGTTTTTTAGTAATCCAGGGGAAGGAGTTTCTAGTAAGCGTGTGACGTGGGCCCAGCTGAGAGATGATCTTTAGACATCTCTGAAGGTAACCATCTGAAAGTCTTGGCAAAGGGGCTTAGGGTGGGATTTAAAGTCAGGTGGGTGTCGAGAGGCTACAGAAGGACCCTAAACACGGTGGATCTGTTATTACATGCCAGCTGATGGCAGAATAGCCATGGTCCTGTAGCTACTATTCAAGTTTGCCATGTTGGAGAGCAAGGATTCATCCATGATAACTTTTCCAGTAAGTACTGTAATCGTGACTGGATTATAACGACCTTCTACTTTACTTCCACTGTAACAGTGGGGCCCCTGCTTTCTGAAGATGTGGGATCAAAATGCTACCAAAGGAATTTCAAATGGTGAAAATTCCAGAAATATTCTCGGTCCCTGCACTGACAGTTGAAATTTTTGTCAGGCAGACCCCAGCTACAGCTATCAGAGTATCGGCCACCTTGCTTAACCCCAGAGCTGGCAGAGGTGCTAACTTTCAGAATTAAACTACCTCTTGTTCCTCTCACCTACTTAGGTGGTTGCCATCCTGTCAACAATGGCATTCTGTCCAGTACGACTGCCTTTCTGTTTTAAGTCCCTTTGATTCCTAGGAAGGCAGACACTTTAGCCTTTTGTAAAAAATGTAGCTTCCAGGGGGTGTCCACTTTGATCTTCGAAACTGCATTTGCCTTCCTGATAATAAAAGAATGCTTAGTTACCCAAGTGGCTCTGAGCAGTGTGTCAGCAATTCCATTATCTCGGCGGCCACCTGAATGTATGCATAAACAGACGTGCTTTCAGCGAAAACTTGCTTCTCTAGATGTAAAGCTTTAAGATACACAGAGCGAACGTGGTCTACGTATACATCTCTCAAGCCTTTCATGCTTTCCACTGGTAGCTATGAGGATTTCCTCGGGGGTGGGGTGGTAGGGGGAGAGTAGGCAGAAAAGTCGGGAAGAAAGGAACTGCAGAGTAACATGGAAATGTATTGCAAATTCCAGGACCTTTCTGACAATATATATGCAAAGATTGTCTTTCTGTAGCAAGTTGATCAAATGTCCTGAATGACAAGACCTGAATTCTCCCATTGATTCTACCATTGTTGGAGTTTTCTCCAACTAATGACTCCAGTAGTGTTTTTCAACCTGGAAATCCTGTGAAATTAGAGGGACATGAACAGTATTTAACAATTAAGGAATTGAATTGAAAATTTCAGAGTATTATATGGGTATGTAAGTATAGCTATTGTTTCTCAGATATTTGATTTCAGTTATAATGCATATATGATCCCAGGTCATGATATAAATGGTGTTTCTTAATATAGGTTACACAGTCAGAAGAGTTCAAAATCTATCAACTTCCTAAACTGGGAATCAAAACCTTCATCAACCTGACTAGGAAGGAAAAGAAAAACTCATAGACAACTTTGACCTCTAAGGAAAAAATAACTTACATGTGCAAAGAGATCTAGTTTTCAGACAAACCACTCCTAGAATATGAGAGACAGTGCAGTATCCACAGTTCAGATTATCTGGAACAGTGACAATTCTGATCAGATTGGATATATTTGGTAAATATTCTTGTCTTTTGAAAAAAAAATGAACTATTCTCCTTTACCGGTAGCTTATAACCATGGCATAATGCTCTTGGAAAATTCTTGGTATTCATAGCTTTTAGCAGGTTTCCTTATCCCTGGTTTATTTCTAGTGCAGGGCACTTGGGAATTGAAGTCTTTTCTGTGTGACAAAACATAATATGCTCCTTTAGTCATGATGAGAAAGGGGAAGATACTCCTTTGCTTTCTGACCACTAACTTATTTCTTCAACCTTATCTCGGCATCTGAAAGTTTAGAGAGAACCAGCAAGAATTATCTTATCCAACTTCCCTTTAATGCAAGCACCCCCTAGACAGCATCCAACACAGATGACCAGCCTCCTCCTTTTTTTTTAGTGAAGTAGAGTTGATTTGCAGTGTTGTGCTAATTTCTGCTATTCAGCTAAGTGACTCAGTTCTACACATATATACATTCTTTTTTTATATTGTTTTCCATTATGGTTTACCCCAGGAGATTGGATATAGTTCCCTGTGCTATACAGTAGAACCTTGTGGTTTATCCATTCTAAATGTAACAGTTTGAATCTACTAACCCCAAACTCCCAGCCCATCCCTCTCCCACCCACCCACCCACCCATCCCCTGCCCCTTGGCAACCATGAGTCTGTTCTCTATGTCTGCGAGTCTGTTTCTGTTTTGTAGATAGGTTCATCTGCGCCATATTTTAGATTCCACAAATAAGTGATATCCTGTGGTATTTGTCTTCCTCTTTCTGGCTTACTTCACTTAGTATGATCATCTCTAGTT